TTTGTAGACATCATCCCTTGTTTCCTTGGTTTGTATTTTCTGTTCACCCATGGCTGCTTTAATCACATCCACATCTCGCTGGGTAAACTGCAAACTCGTTTTTATCTCCTGTATTTCTCTGGTCATGTCGTCGAGTCTCTTGTTATTTGTCTCCATAAGTAGTTGCACAAAACCTTTGAAGTTGTCTTGTTGTTGGCTCAACAGTGCGGTGTACATCTGCTTCTGCTGACTCAACATCTCTGTTACTTGCGCCGCTGAAATAGAATCCTCTGCTGACTCAACATCCTCGTTCGCTTCTGATTTATTAGCTCTTTTCCCTCTTGGAGGCATTTTAATAGTTGTAGAATTTGTTCAAAGACTTGAAAATGTAAAAGATGTGAAAAATCGTAGAACAGACAGGAGGTCTGCACTCTGAGTGCTGTCTGGTTTCTTATTATTCTGCCATAGTGTGTTATTTTGGTGAACTGTTGGGGTTTTTTTGTTTTAATGTGCTGTATGTGTCTTTTCTCATTGCAGCATATAACTTTGGCTTTGATGCATCGACAGCTCATGCTGAGCTGAAGGTTCTGGGTAACACAGTGACCTGGGAGCCTCAGGGGGTCAAAGCTCATGACCACCGACTCAGGGGGAAAGAGAGTAAAAGCAGGTGATTAAACGTGCCTTGATGATGTCGTCAGGATTTATTTCTATAAACTTCTATAAACTATGTATTTCTCTTATTCAGACGGTTAGTGTTTATAGTTTACGTAGACATGTGCAGTTTATCACAAACCTGACATAAAAATACACCTCACTGTGATTAAAAGGGTATTTTACAGCAGAGTCCAGGCTAGAGACCATAAAACAGGAGACTGATAACAATTGCCAGGGCCACGACATAGAGGGATCAGTGGCCCTGGGTCAAGAGAGGACCAAAATGGGGCATTCACACATTTGGTGAACTTGACAGCTGGCCAGTCACTAAAGTAAGGTGCTCAGAAAAGAAAAGAAAAACAAAATGACAGATACAAAGGATTTCATGTCCAGGTATTTAAAAATATACACTGAAGTTGAAGATGAAGTCTCAGGTACAAGTACAACCCCACCGACATCAGTTTAGCTTAAGTTAAACAGCAGGAAAACACACTTACTAATAATAGCTTCCACCTAGCTTTACCTCCAACATCCAGTTATTAGCTTGTATACAAACCTAACACAAGGCATCCTCTGAGAAAAACAGCTGATCCTCTCTGACAGGATGTATCTGTCAGAGAGGAAAGAGAGACGAGGACAGACCCGGGCTGCAGGTGAGAGCAGGGCAGGTGAGGCCAGCTGTGCTGGGGAGAAGAAAGAGAGACAACAGAGGTTTAGGCTGTTTAAAATCCCAGTAATATTTTTTCCATGTAAATTCATCTAAACCAGCCAGTGTTTGAAGTATTTAATGAGTTTAGCAATTTTCCATCTCTCTGTGATTGAATTTTGCTGCTGGGGTTACTGTTAGTTTTAGTATATTCGGATTAAGGTGCGGGATGAGAGTTCTTTTGCCGTGTGCAAATTGACTTTATGGCATATGGGCATGTTTTGCAGCTTTTCTTGTCTTGGGCATGAGCAAGACGCAGCAGTCCTGACGGCTGCACAGTATAGGACATAATTCTTCAAGCAAGTCACAAGTCAGGCCATATGCAATTCTGATGATCAGATCATGTTATGGGAAAATCATGTATTTAAGTGAAATGTTTTACAAACTTTCTCTGATTATTACATCCATGGCCAAAATTATTGGCACTGCTGCATTTCTGTCAGATAATGCATCACTAATCCTAACCCAGAAAATGGTTTCAATCACAAGTTATCAGAATCAGAATGTGCTTTATTGGCCAGGTGTGACGGACACACGAGGAATTTGACTCTGGTACATCGGCTCTCATTGTGCAAACAGTAAACCAGCATAAGGCTGTGTAATATCATCGTCATCATCATCATCATCATCAACTTTATTTATATAGCATGTTTAACACAGCCGAAGCTGACCAAAGTGCTTAACACAATATCACTAAAACCCGTTAAAACACAATAAAACAAGCAGAAGCAATAAACACAACAATAAAACAGGACCACACTAAAACAACCACCCATCATAAAACAAAAAAGCTCAACAAGACAGAGGCTCATACTGGTTTGAACGCCAAACGGTACAGATGAGTCTTCAAATAAGTTTTAAAAGTGGACAACGAGGGGGCCTGCCTAATGTAAATGGGCAATGCATTCCACAACTTAGGAGCCCCCACAGAGAATGCTCTGTCCCCCCTAAGTCTCCGCCTAGCCCTCGGTGTCTCCAAGAGCAGCTGATCGGCTGATCTGAGGCACCGAGTGGGGCTATAGGGATGCAGCAATTCTGTAAGATAAAGGGGGGCCAAACCATTTTAAGACTTAAAAACAAATAAAAAAATAACAAAATAGCAGTATTAACATCAACAAACAGTGCAAACAATGCAGAAAAAGCAGTATAAACAGACAGTAAACCAGGCAAACAAAGAAATGTTTGTTGAAATGAGATAAATAGGAATAAAATAGAGTACTTAAGAACTAGAGACCTGCACAAGTCTGTACAAGTTCTTTGGTATTCCCATATTTATTTCTTTTGTTTGCATTGGAACAACACAAAAACCAGATGGTGACAGATGTGAGCTGACACTGTTGCACCCTGTGCCTGCAGGTCAGTTTGGACTTGTCTGGAAGTTGGTGCAGGTTCTTTATCCACCATTTGAACAATCCCTTGCAAGCTGTCATCTAGTTTCCTCCTTCGTCCATGTCCAACGAGATTAACTACAGCGCCTTGGGCTGTAAACATCTTGACAGTGTTGTGCACAGTGGATACAGGAACAGTCAGATCTCTAGAGATGGACTTGGAGCCTTGAGACTGTCCAGGCTTTTCCATTACTGTGGTTCTGAGATCCTCAGACAGTTTTTGTTGATTCCCACAGTTGAGTTTCATTACAAATTAAAGGAGCATCACAGGCTGGAAATACAACTACATGTATCTCTGATGATTCTGAAAAGGTGTCAGTAATTCTGTCCAGTTTATGTTTGTAGTCAAGACATGGTGGAGGGTCACTGGTGTTTTGGGGCTGCTTTGCTGCTTCAGTCTCTGAATGTCCTGACTGTGTGTGGCATTATGACATCTGAAGACTACCAATGAACTCTGGGGTGCAATGTAGGGTCCAGTGTCAGAAAGCTGGGTATCTGTCAGAGGTCATGGGTCGCACAGCAGGACAATGACCCAAAGCAGACTTCACAAAGCACCAGAAATGGTTTCACACAGTGAGCTGGAGAGTTCTGACTTGGCCAGCAACGAGTCCAGGTCTAAACCCCATAGAGCTCCTGCGGAGGGATCTCAGAGCAGCAGTTGGGAGACGGAACCCTTCAAATCTGAGACCTGGAGCAGCTGGAAGAAGAAGAGTGGTCCAAAACTCCAGTAGAGAGGTGGAAGAAACTCACTGATGGTGACAGGAAGTTCGTTTGTCCAAAGGGTGGGCTGCCAAATATTAAAATGAGGGTGTCAGTAATTCTATCCAGTCCATATTTGGAGTTCTGTGTGGACTGGACCAGATTTGGCTTTTTTCTCTGCTTTTTGCGTTGTTCCAGTGCAAACAAAAAAAATAAGCATGAAAATACCAGAGAATTTGTGACCATAAAAATTGAACGGGAGACGTTGTGGGTTATCTGACAGAAATGCAGGGATGCCAATATTTTAGATCATGACTGTAATAGTGCATACTGTAGGCTATAAACTATCCCTTAAATTTAAATGCATGCCTTTCATGGCTATCAGAAACTTCTCACTAAAATATGAACTTGATTCAAAGCCAAGTCTAACAGCTTAAACTTAACATTAGCTTTCTAGGTAACATTTGACAAGCCAGTAAGTTAGCTAACAATGTTACACTATTGCGTACTTGGTTTTTTTTGGTTTTATAGTGATGAATGAAGCTGAATGTTGTGTTGGTCGTGTCGCTAATTTTTGCATTGCAGACTTTGCTGTTCTCTTAATACCATCATTTACAACGTAATCCTTGAATTGAAATTTGATTATTTTTTAACTAGGCCCCTTCTTAGCTTTATACTGCAACCTGTGTTGCGATCTGCCGCGTTCAGGTAGTTTGCTAGGTTTGCAGGCATTGCACTAGAAATCTCCCAACTGTATTTCAAAAACAAACTTCAACTTCTTAATATCTAGAAAAATTCAAGTAAGTAAAAAAAAGTGAAGTAATTTTGAGTTATCTGTTTCAAGTCTAACTCATCTGAAGTCACAAATACCGGTGTTTTACCGGTGTTGCTCAAAAAAGTCTCAAGTCCTCAGATTTGCAATTTGAGCCAAGTCATGTGACTCAAGTCCCCCCACCTCAGACTAATACCTAACATATTGGTAAAATCTCTGGAAAGAAACAGTCAGTGAAGCCTCTGGAATGTTCTAGCTTTCTGCCATAACTAAAAACAAAATGTGATCAGATCTTCATCTAAGTCAAAAGTACAAATGTGCCTAAACAAATAAAACAGTTATCTTTATGTCTTCAATAAAAACAGCCACTAAATATTTTCAGTGCTGGTGTAGAAACCAAGCGAACTCTGCATTTAGTAGCAGGTCAAATCTCAGACCAGGGCCCATATTTATCAAATGTCTCACAGTTGCTCCTAATTCGCACTGAAAGGTAATGTAGGACTAAAAACGTCCCACCTCAGAGTAGGACTTAAAAATTTATGAAGCGTCCTCTTCCTCACTTTCAGTGAGGAGAAATCCTGCTGCTAAGAACAAGTGTGATGGCACAGTTTTACGGCACTCAGAGCCACATTAAACTGATGCGTTGTAGCCTTTATGGCTTTTGAGATTTGTAGTTATAGACCTTGGCAACTGAAATGCTGATATCAGCGCCACTTGTCAAATGAAGGCTGTGTATGGACTAGGGCTGTTTGATGGTAAAAATCGGTGAATATTAGAATATGTGCTGGGGGGTTGGGCTGACATGATGCTTAAGCTAAAAGTACCTCTATGCCCATCTAGCAGAACCTTGGGTTAAAAAAAAAAAGCTAAAAGCTCATGAAAGTTATATATAGTACGTAATGCAACAGGTGAAGGAGCCAATGGATCTTCATAACAATTTGCGTGCACTCAGAATTTTTACTGAGTTGAGATCGGCTGATAGTTTTACCTGTGAAGACGTCTCACTCTGTCGGAGTGGTTATTCAAGTGGTGTTACAGAGTGCTGCCTCTTTACTTCAGACAATCTTTGGCTAACATACAGCATCTTGTCTGTCTGATTTCTGCTGCAAATGGTGAAGGTTCATATTTGATGCATCTGCAATGATGATCATGTTCATGTGATCCGTATTAGAACAGGTAGTTACAAATTAAATGTTTAAAATATATATTTTAATCTGCGGTTGGTTTTGTGTGTTTTGACCTTTTTGTCCCTCTTCAGTCTCCGTACTGCATCTTCTCCAACTCACTCAGGTAGAAACCGTCATTGCTGAATGGCTGCTAAGAAAATGCTGTGTCACCAGTCACCTTCATCCACCAGCTTTCACCTCATGCAGCCAATCACATCACTGCTGACATCACATCAATATTTATTTTAACTTTAAATAAAATCAAGTTTCTTTCTCTTATAGTTAGACTGTATTTTTTGTTTTTAGCATTAGTAATATAAATACATTTATATTTTAATTTAATGCAACAAAGGATTAAAGTTATCTTACTAACTTTCCACAAAATGTATGTGAAACTTTAAATAAAGTGAATAGTTGTCATTGACTTTACCACTTTTTTATAACCGTTGTAATTGTCTTTTAAATAATGAACATTTTGTTTTATTCATATTTTATCGTGTTATTGTCTTTGCCACACTGACATTGCTTTGACATGAAGTCATTGGCTGTTTCAGCTCTTCTTTTTTTTTCCATTTTGTAAGGTGCTAAACTGTCTTTAACTCTTTCACTCGTGATTTCTTTTTTAACAGCAGAAGCAATACACCCTCACCCAATAAGACAGCGGGCAGTCGAGCTGGTCGTGACCGATTCGCTGGAGAGTCATACACAGTACTTGGTACTACACTGATTCTACGTAATGATACTATGACTGATTACTTGTGATTTCAAACTAAAAAAATCATATTTACATTTTTAAGTATTTCCTCTCCCACCATCCCCTAGGCGACCAGGAGATGATTGGTGGCTGTCACTACTGGGAGCTCCACCCCCTGGGTGACTGGAAGTCATTCAGTGTGGGTGTGGCCTATCGGGCCAGCCTGGGTCGCTTTGACCAATTAGGGAAGAGCGCCAGTTCATGGTGTCTCCACGCCAGCCAATGGCTGCAGAGCTCCCTTTCTGCAAAGCACAACAATCGAGCAAAGACATTGGATTGGTCCCTGCTTCAGAGAATCGGAATCTGCTGTGACTATGACAATGGTATAAGAAAATCATTTACTTTATCCTTCATGTTACTGTGGTAAAATAAGTTGGTGCAGTTAGTGAGAGAGAGGACACACTATGGGAGAGGGAGGACACACTATGGGAGAGGGAGAGAGAGAGAGAGGACACTACGGGAGAGGGAGAGGGAGAGAGAGAGGACACTACAGGAGAGGGAGAGAGAAAGGACACACTACGGGAGAGGGAGAGAGAGAGGACATACTATGGGAGAGGGAGGACACACTACGGGAGAGAGAGAGAGGACACTACAGGAGAGGGAGAGAGAGAGGACACACTACGGGAGAGGGAGAGAGAGAGGACACACTACACACACGACAGGAGAGGGAGAGAGAGGACACACTACGGGAGAGGGAGAGAGAGAGAGAGGACACACTACGGGAGAGGGAGAGAGAGAGAGAGGACACACTACGGGAGAGGGAGAGAGAGAGGACATACTATGGGAGATAGGAGACACACTGATGTGTAGTGGTGGTGTATAGATGGATGGAGAGAGAGGAGAGGAAAGGGGAGGAGGGGGGAGAGGAGAAGACGCACAGCAGGGAGTTGCATTTTTATCAGGTCAGTCTCAGTGCCTGCTAGCAGTAATTGATATTATGTTTTCAGTGGTTAGATTTAAACTGACAATCAACTGTTTCATTTTTTAAACAATTTGCAGATATTCCTTTTTCCTTATGCATATATTTGTTTTTGTTTGTTTTGTTTTACCTGAGCTTTCTGTCAGTTTCTTATTGTCTTCAAATTGATATGCTGCATCGCTGTGTTTCAGGTGATCTGTTGTTTATTGATGTTGAGCGACTTCGTCTCCTACACGCCTTCAAAACAAAATTCACCCAGCCACTCCTCCCTGCTTTCACTGTGAGTACTGCAATATTATTACATCTGATCCTAAATCAGATACTACACCAGCCCACTTTGATGGATTTGATGAATGGTTTTTTATACTTGTTGGCAGCTTTGACACGTTTGTACTTGGGCTTTGTCGCACTGTTAAGGCTCCTGAACATTTCAGATGTAAATATTAATGAATAAATGAGCCACAATAAAAGGTAAAAATTAGATAAAAACCTTTGAAGTTATCATTAACTTAGTATGAATTTAACATGACTGTGTGTTTGGTTTGATCTGATTGATTGATTGACAGTTGATCAGTGACATAAAAAACTGGTCAGATTCTAATTTTGCTCAATCCTGATTGGTGCATGGAACTATGTAATAGGGTTAGGGCTAGTGAGGTCAGCAAGTAAAACTGCTCTCTCGCATCCACTCTTGGCATTTACCCTCCAGAAGACGTACCTACACTCTGTCCCAAAAGTTGCTAGATTTGTCACTAGTTCTTCCTCTTCTTTCGGCTGTTCATCGCCATAGCAAATCATCCACCTAACTCTGTCCTCGGCATCCTCTACTCTCACACCAGTTAACTTCATGTCCTCTTTTAGCACATCCATATATCTCCTCTTTGGCCTTCCTCTTGACCTCTTGCCTGGCAGCTCCATCTCCAACATCCTTCTACCAATATAACCACTATCCCTCTGCACATGTCCAAACCATCTCAATTTGGCCTCTCTGACGCTGTCCCCGAAACAGCCGACCTGAGCTGTCCCTCTGATGTGCTCATTCCTAATCCTGTCCATCCTGGTCACTCCTAAACAGAACCTCAACATCCTCATCTCTGCTACTAGTTGTGTTGCTAAAAAAATGCTAAAGGGGTTTCAAAAGTGGCTACATTTTGTGAGAAAGTTCATAAGTTAGCAGGACTGCTAAGGATAATAATAATAACTACCTTTATTGGCCAAGTGTGTTACACACAAGGAATTTGTTTCCGGTATAGAACTGAGGCAGCCATCTGCAGCGCCACCTAAGCCGATGGCTCTAACCATCAGGGGCAACTTAGGGGTTGTGTCTTGTCCAAGGACACTTCCGATGTGTACTGCAGGCACCGTGATTCGAACCTCCAACCCTCTGGTTGAGTGACGACCGGTCTACCCACTGAATCACAGCGCCCACAGTCGCTTGTGGTATTCGTGCAGTATTCTGCAGTATAGTACTTGTCCTCATTGTATAGCAGTACTAACAGCGGTAAAACTGTCTTGCAGGTGTGGTGCGGTGGTATCTCCATAACGACTGGTCTACAGGTGCCAAGCTTCATGGGAAATTTCCTCTCCACCAATCAGAGCCTGAGCAACCTGTCGCAGTAAATCCACTATTCTTTAAATATCTGTTTTTGTTTTATTTTAATTTTGATCAGTGTCATTCGATTCTTGGTATATAATTTGATGTATTGATGCTAATGTAATATAATATGTATTACATATAGAAATATTTTAATTGTTTTATTGAAAGACCCATAATTTAAAAAATCATTTATTCATTATTATTTTACAGCTGTTTATTTTGAAAGTCTTTATTCGAGGTCAGGCTTATTTTTTGTTCTTTTATTTTTAAGAAATTCTAGGTGAAATCTGTTAGGTGGGTTTTTTTTGTTTGGTTTTTTTTTTAGGTATTTTTAATATAAATTCTTAGATGGCAGACATTTATTCTGAAAGTAGAAACAGGCTAGACAATTGCCTCTTCCCTATGGCTGTAACCAGATGTAATTTATTATGAATGTTCGGGAGGAAGTTATATTTTTAATTTGTGAAAGGATTTTATTCTGAAAGACTTGTGAGATGGATCTACACAGAATCTTTTGCACAATGCAGAGGTCAGTTTTCTGCACAACTTTAACCCGACAACAAAGGATGAGCAGATTAAGATACACAGATGTTTGTCCTGACGGTCTAAATTATCTGATCAACAATGGAAACTTGTCTTCTGCCTGTGACTGATTCATATTATGAGTTTATTTGTGCAGTTTCATATCGATACACAACAGCACACTGATCTGATGATGCTTTACCTGGGAACTGTACAAGATCTGAGTCATATTGATTGATCATTAAAGACATGGACATTTATGCATAGCATGTTCTCACTCTCCCTGTCATATATAAGAACATCATTAAACTATTGGACCCTGAGAACAAGCTGAACCTTTTAGTTTGGTGACATTTTATTAAAATTTGGATTGGGTCCAATGGGAGTGTTTCTGACTTCCTGTTGGAAAATGTCCGTTGTGACTGCAGGAATTTTATCTGCCTCCTGCTCTCATCACCTTTCCAACTGCAGTTCACCTCAAACAAGCCCATTGTTAGAGGTAGTCTTGTACAGTCCTACTTCTTTGTTTTTGAACTGGGACCAAGCTTTCTGTCATTTATGTTGAACTGTGGAAATAAACATGAAATATTTTAAAAATATTTGTCTGCTTTAGTTTTCAAGTGACATTTCCTGGCTTTCAAGGTCTGATGTGAACCAAATTAATTCAGGCAAACTGTAAGATTTGAATTCGACCGATAGTCGAACCTCGGATTCAGGAGGAACAATGCGGTTTTCGTCCTGGCCGTGGAACACTGGACCAGCTCTATACCCTCTTCAGGGTGGCGGAGGGTTCATGGGAGTTTGCCCAACCAGTCCACATGTGTTGCGTGGATCTGGAGAAGGCATTCGAACGTGTCCCTCGCAGCGCCCTGTGGGGGGTCCTCCGGGAGTATGGGGTCCGGGGCCCTTTGCTAAGGGCCA